TTTGCAAAATGTGCCGCGCATCTGTAAAATACGCGGGCAGTACGACTAATCTGAAATCTCACTTAAAGCGGCGCCACGGTGTTGTTGTGAAAGCATCTTCCAGTGTTTCTGCATCCCCGGCTTTCGCACTGCTTCAACTGTAGCTACCAGCGCCAAAAGTGGTGAGAAAAGCATTGCAAGTTTTTTTCCATGCGCAACAGTTTTGTGCGCTCTACGCAAATAACGGATGTTACTGCATTGTTCATCTGCAAAGATATTCAGCCTAGTGTCACGGAGAACGAAGGTTTTAAACACCTCCTCCTGTTAATTTTTATTTAATTATAATAATAATAATATTAATAATAATAATAATAAAAATAATGGGTGTCACGGTGGCACAGTGGGTAGTTTGACCACCTCACAGCAAGAAGATTGCTGGTTTGTTATATTTTTATTAGCCTGTTGTTTACAGTGACATTGATGTTTCAAAGCAGCATAACACTGCTAGTTCACCACCTTAAGTTTTGAATAATCAGTGGCAAAATATATCTTTGTAAAACTTGTTTTCATAGTTGAAGAGTTAAATCACAATTCTTGTTGTGCAATGCTAAACCTTTATGTTGATTTTAATATATATTGCACTTATACATTCTGTTTATCTTGAAAATACTTAAATAATATGTGCTATATGTTCTAAAATGGCCCTCTACTGTAAACTGACACTCTGGCTCTGAGAGAAGAGTCAGTTTGTAAAAAAAGTCTTGGTTTTGCTTGGTTAATAAATAATCAAACTCATTCAATGGCACAGCATCCTCTTTCACATCATCTCATAAACTTGATCTAATAAGTTAGTGCTGAATTATCGCATCGTATCGTGATATGGGTGTGAATCGTATCGTGTTGCATCGCAATATGTCACAAATGTATCGCTAATATATCGGATCGTATTCTTTGTATCGAGATGCGTATCGGATCGGCATTATAGCTTAGATGCCCAACCCTAGTGTTTAGTTTTTTCTGAACGCTTCATTAATGTACAAGTAGCTCAAACTCGCTCATTCAAAGATGGGAACCAGTTGATGTGCAACAATCACAGAGCTTGCTCTGCACGTTGTTGCGACGTGTAGTTATATATTTTGAGAAGTGCGCGTCGGCGTCAACCATGGCGAGGGCTATGCAACCGCACGAAGGCTGCGCCGGACTATACACGTACGCTTGTTTCAGAAGAATAAATCAGCTTTAACCTACTATTTAACCTACCCTTACCACCAAACCTGGCCCTAATACTACCCGTTTCCCTCCCAGAAGGGTCTTGATGAACACATTAAATACAACGTATTCACAATGTCATTACAATGTACTTCGATACATACAAAGTAATTCCAATGTATGCATTAATGTAATTACATAGCAGTTAAAGCTACTTAATATGAAGTGGGAGCTGTTGTTTTTAACTGGAGATGTTTGTTTTTGACTCACTTGACTAGTGACAGGCCCTGGTGGGGTTTCTCGGTGGCCTGTTTTCTGGGGGTTTGAGTTCCTGTCGTGTCTTTCTCAGGTGAAGCGGGAACGTGACCTGCAACTGGAGAAATATAATGCATAGTTGTTTTATTAGTGATGCTCATTTATTAGTGATTAATAATAAAGGGATATAAGCATGCATTGGTGAAAATAGATCTAGAAAAATTGTATATTTAAAATAGAATTTAAAAAATAAACGGCAAGCAAGACATTTAATTAAGTGTGGAAATTAATGTCAAATTGGCAAAACAACAGAGAAAGGAATAAACTAAGTATATAATACATATTTGATTTGCGATTTTAATTTAATTAGATTTAATTAAATGAATTAGATTTATTACATTTTATATTTGACTTTTAACATAAAGCTGAAATAAAAACAATATCTTAGAAGAAATGTAAAAATCGCCCCCAAAAATCACGTAAAATGTGTGTGACTGTATGCATCTGTGTGTGAGTGTATGTTGTGTGTCTGCAAGTGTGTGTGTGTGTGTGTCAGTCTCACTGGTAGAGCAGGGTCTGCTGTCTGCCTCATCAGGACAGGCACAGATAAAGCTGTTGCTGCGAGCGAGACACAGGTGTGTGCAGCCGCCGTTATTCGCAGCGCAGTGATTCGTGCCTACAAACACACAAAATATTCATACACTCAATTCAACGACAACTACAACATTTAGTTATTGTTAACAAACCTAAATACAAACAAAATAGTTTTAATAACTACTGTAATTACTACTAACTTTATTGATTTTTTGCATTTTGGATATTTACTTAAATTTATATTTGAGAGAGAGAGAGAGAGAGAGAGAGAGAACAAAAAAACTAAAGTAAAATATAATTATTAAAAATGACATGTCTATATTTGGAAGATATATATTTTAATAAATTTTAAATGAATGAATGTTTACACGTCAAAAGTGACTAATGGCTGTTTATACCTGCACTGTTCTGCCTTAAAAATAAACAATGAACCCAAATGTATGCACCAAATATATTTAATTCAAGCAAGTTATTTACATTAAATAAATTAATAAAACAATGAATTGTTTTTAAAAGGCTAAAACTACATAGATTAATTTAGGGAAAAAATTAGAAAAAAAAAACACAAAGAACGTAAATAAAAAATAAATAAATAAATACTGCTTCTGAATGCTGTCTTCCCATCAGACTGACATGTGCATGCTTTTACCTGCATCATCTTACCCCAATGCATCAAATATATTTAATTTCAGCTTTATTACATGAAAAAAGGATTTAATAAAAAAATCAAAGCAAAGTAAAAAAAACCTATAAAAGCAATCAAATAATAGAGAGTTTAAAACTACACAGATAAGATGACACAAAAACAAAAATAAAATACTAAATAATTAAATTAATATTTTACTTTAATTTTCTTCCCAAGAAAATCTCAAAACTGACAAATTGCACAATTTTTGCAAGTTATTTAAATAATAAAAAAAAAAATTATAAATAATTTACATTTAAATAATAAAAAAATAATAAAACCTTTTCAAAATAAACCTTTAAAAAAAAATAAACCTTTAAAAAAAAATTAAAAATTATAATAAATGATTATTAAATTACATGGGGCGTCATGGTGGCGCAGTGGGTAGCACGATCGCCTCACAGCAAGAAGGTCACTGGTTCGAGCCCTGGCTTGGTCAGTTGGCATTTCTGTGTGGAGTTTGCATGTTCTCCCGTGTTGGTGTGGGTTTCCCCCCACAGTCTAAACACATGCGCTATTGGAATAAATTGAATTGAATAAACTAAATTGTCCATAGTGATTTGGGTGAACGAGAGTGTATGGGTGTTTCCGAATGTTGGGTTGCGGGTATATCCGCTGCATAAAACATATGCTGGATAAGTTGGCGGTTCATTCCACTTATTCAACTATATATATTTTCTTCCTATTAGACTGAAAAACATTCTCAAAATAGACATGTGCATGTTTTTACCTGCATCATCTTCCCTTAAAAATAACAATAAAAATATTTTTACATTTAAAAAAATAAAACTAAATAAGTGAATTTGAAAAAAGAAACAAAAAAACCCCAAAATGAAATCAAATGTTTTCTTTCCATTAGACTGAAATAACTACAAAATCTCAACATTGACATGTGCATGTTTTTACCCGCATCATCTCCCCTTACCCAATACATAACCCCAAATCAATGCATGACAGCATCACAGTGTAAAATAAAAGCTTGTGCTCTTCAGTTGAGTCTGTCTGTGCTCAGTCTTACCGCTCTGTCTTTGTGGAGACACCACTATAATGTCCATCAGCCCCTCTACATTGGCCAGCACAGTTTCCTTACTGCGGCCCGTATGCTTATCTACACGCTGAATAGACTTGGTCTGCCAGTCCGTCCAGTAAATCCAGCGCTCTTGCTGTGAGATTCGGGAAAAAGGGGTTAAAGGAGAGTACACCGGTTTCAACTGGGGACAAAGAAAAGGGGTACAGAAACAGAAAGATGGGAAGAAAAAGGAGGGTCAGAAAATGGAGAGATGCAGAAGAAGAGGTTATACAGGTGGAGGAGTGATGGAAAAAGGGATGGGCGATATGTGGATTCACAAATATATAATCGCAAAGTTTGTGGGTAATTTTTGTAATAACAATAATAATGGCAATTAAAAAACATGTCACAATGTTTTCGGGTATTTATTGCGATAACGATATTAATGCCGACTTAAAAACATCGCAATGCTTTCTGGTATTTATTGCGATAACGATAATAATGACGAAAAAATCTATCGTAATATTTTCAGGCATTTATTGCAATAACAATATTAATGCAGATTTACAAATGTATCACAATATTTTGTGGTATTTATTGCAACAACAATATTAACGAAGATTTTAATAAACATCGCAATGTTTTCTGATATTTATTGTGATAATATTAATGACGATTTTAAAATATATTGCAATATTTTATGCTTTTTATTGCGATAACGATATTAATGAGGATTAAAAAATATATTGCAATATTTTCTGGTATTTATTGCGATAACAATATTAAAGATGATTAAAAATATATCGCAATGTTTTTTAGTATTTATTGTGATAACGATATTAATGACAATTTTAAAATATATCACAATGCTTTCTGGTATTTATTGCGATAACGATAATAATGACGAAAAAAATCTATCGTAATATTTTCTGCCATTTATTGCAATAACAATATTAATGCAGATTTACAAATGTATCACAATAGTTTGTGGTATTTATTGCGATAATATTTACAATGATTCAAAAGTATATCGCAATTTTTTGGGTATTTATTGCTAAAACGATATAAGTGATGATTTAAAAATATTTCAGAATGTTTTCTGGTATTTATTGCGATAACAATATTAATCATGATTAAAAATTTATATCACAATGTTTTCTGGTATTTATTGCAACAGCGATATTAACGAAGATTTTAATATACATCACAATGTTTTCTGATATTTATTGTGATAATATTAATGACAATTTTAAAATATATTACAATATTTTATGCTTATAATTGCGATAACGATATTAGTGACGATTAAAAAATATATTGCAATATTTTCTGGTATTTATTGCGATAACAATATTACAGACGATTAAAATATATCGCAATGTTTTTTAGTATTTATTGTGATAACGATATTAAGGACGATCTTAAAATATATCACAATGTTTTCTGGTATTTATTGCAATAATGATATTAAGGACGATTTAAAAATATATGTCAGTATTTTCTGGTATTTATTGTGATAACAATATTAACAACGATTTTAAAACATTGCAATGTTTTCTGTTATTTATTGTGATAATATTAATGACAATATAAAAATACATCGAAATTTTTTTGGTATTTATTACGATAACAATGTTAAATGGCTATTTAAAAATGTATTACAATGTTTTCTGGTATTTATTGCAATAACGATAATAATGACTATTTTAAAATATATCGCAATGTTTTCTGGTATTTATTGCAATAACGATAATAATGACTATTTTAAAATATATCGCAATGTTTTCTGGTATTTATTGCGATAACGATAATAATGACAATTTAAAAATATATCGCAACATTATTTTGGTATTTAATGCGACAAGGAAATTAACGACGATTTAAAAATATATCACAATGTTTTCTGGTATTTATTGTGATAACATTATTAAGGAAAATTTAAAAAATGTATTGCAATGTTTTCTGGTATTTTTTGCAATAACAATATTAATGCTGATTTACAAATATATCACAATACTTTCTGGTATTTACTGCAATAATATTAACAATGATTTAAAAATATATTGTTTTTTTGGTATTTATTGCTAAACCAATATTAATGATGATTTAAGAATATTTCACAATGTTTTCTGGTATTTATTGAGATAACGATATTAACGACAGTTTAACAACATTTTGCAGTATTTCTTGGTATTTATTTCGATAATAATAATAATAATAATAATAATAATAATAATAATAATAATAATGATGATTTAAAAATATATTGCAAAACACTAACTTTTATTTTGGATGAGATTAATCTCAATTCACCTTTTCCAAGCACTTATTTTTATATTTTAATCATTTTACATGTTTTTTTTTTACTATTTAAAGAGCTCTACAGCTCCTGGATGCCCACTATCCAATAGAGCTCCCCCATAATCAAACACAGTGAAGCAGATAATCAAGCTACCAGGCTGTAAACACCTTTTTTTTCTGCTGTAAAGTTTAACATGGCAGTCTGTGGGCATTTACTGCCTCTTAGAGGCAGCCCCCAGTGGCCAGTCAATGAATTACAGTTTCAGTCAATTTCAGTTTCAAGCTCATCCATATTAGCTTCACAAGGTTGCCAATTGAATCAATCACATTAAAGCAGCCAATCAAGCTTTTCTTGATCATATAAAATACTGTGTGAAAGGGTTAAAGTAAATTAAATTCATCTTTACCTCTAAAGCGCTTTTATAATGTAGATTGTGTCAAAGCAGCTTAACAGAGGAAGTTCTAGTAAAGTTCTAGTATATTGAAAGTGTAAATCAACAAACGCAAAATAACTATATTGCATGCATGTTACTGTATAATTCACTGCAGTATTACATGATTGTAGGTTTTATCGCCATTATTACAAGTATTATAAGGTCTTTTTTTTATTATGCGCCAAATTTCGCATACAATAAGACATCGCCCATCCCTATATGGAGGTGCAGGTGAGATGGGTCAGTGAGGTCACAGAGGGTCAGGTATACCTGCGTGAGGGCAAACGGGTGAGAAACGGGACTGATGAGGATCTGACGCAGTTTTCCATTCAAGTCTGAGCTTTCTATGCGGTCCAAGTGCGCATCCACCCAAAAGATCCTACACATCAGATCAGGTGACAGGTCAGTGCTGCGTCAAGCTAAACATTCTGCAAAGTACTTCCCATGATTGTGGTACAAAATTAGTCCTAAAGATCACCTGAAGTGCTTTCAAATATGCATTTGTGATGAAACTATGAAAAACTATGAAACTATGAAAAAGGACAGGGTATAGAGTAGCTCCTCCCCTTTCTTAAAAACAGCCAATATTGTTTTGTTTTTATCATAGCTCTGCCAGTGAGGGGTTGAGCTCATATAGTTTTAGTAAAAAAACTTTTTTTGTTGTTTTTAACTTGCTTTTTGCTTTAAAAAACAAAATTATAAACGAGTTATAAAATATATATTTAAAATAAATAACAAAATAAAAGATGTATAGGTTTGGTATTAATGTAGACGTCAACATTACTACCAAAAATAAATAAATATACAAATAAAATAAATAAATAAAAATGTAAATAAAATAAATAAAATGAATAATAATAATAAACAAAAAAATAATAAAATACATAAATAAATCAACAAAAGTATAAAGAATAATAGATAAATAAATTATATATATATATATATATATAATAAATTATAAAAAATATATAAATATTATAAATAACTTAAATTAAATTAAAAACAAAAAAAATTATTAATAAAATAAAAAATAATAAAAAAATGTAAATAAAAAAATTAATAATAAATAAATAAATATCTAAAATAAACAAATAATACATAAACAAATAAATAAAATAAATATAATATACATATAAAATGATAAATAAATAGAATCAATAATAAAAAATTAATTAATAAAACAAAAGTAATAAAAGATTTTTAAGTAAATAAAATAATAAATAAAAATAAATAAATAAGGAAACATAAAAATGATAAATAAACCAAAAATAAATAAATATTTAAAAATAAATATTAAAATAAATTCTAAATAAATAAAATACTAAAATAATAATAAATAATATATAAAATATTAAAATGATAAATAAAAATAAATCAAGAATAATAAATAAAATAAAAATAAATAAATATATAAAAACATTATTATTAATAATAAAACAAAATATAAAAATAAATAAATAAATAAAATAAATTGATTGATTGAAACACAATAACACAACACATTAATGAAAGGTTGCTATTATAACTCCAAAATAATATGCTAATTGTATCCTATTCATGGAAAGTACCAAAGTGAACCAAAGCCAGTTATTGTTAGTGAAAGTGGCACTGAAATCAACAAAGACCAGGTGCAAAACTGAAGAGAACAAAAGACAAATACAGCAACATTTCAAATGAAAATGCTTTTCAAAGCCAGCAATATTGTGTATGTCACATTATTTAAGACCACACACACAAACACAGCAGATGATAACAGTGTTTACATGTGGCAGTAAATCCAAAACACCCTTAAAAGTGCATCATCCAGAAAACACACACACACACACACACTTCACTGATCTATATTATAAATAATGCTGCTTTTATAGATCAGTGGCTCTCTTACATCCTGATAAACACCTATTATGCCTCTTTTTACAAGATGTAAAGCAAGTCTCTGATGCGTCTAGTGTGTGTGTGAAGTTTCAGCCCAAAATACCACACAGATGATGTTTTATAAGTCTCTGAAAACTGACCCTTTTAGGCTTTGATTCTAATTGTGGTGTTTTGGTGACTGTCGCTTTAAATGCAAATGAGATTGTGCTCTTTTCAGAAGAGGGCGGAGCTACAAATTCCTGTGTGTCAGCATAGTGGCAGATTCAAAACTCTAATAGCAGACGGCTGCTTCTCACCCAGGACTGTTTATGCTAATAAAGGAGAGATTGTCACGAGTGGGCGGGGCTTTCCCTCTTTGATGACATGTATATGTGAATGTCAATCAAATTTCATCAAGTCTGATTATAAACAATAGAATGAACGAATTTCCATTAAACTATTAAAACAATTGCCCTTAAAATATGGTTATCTTCACACACTGCTGCTTTTAACCCTCTTATAAAAGAGATTTTTGCAGAATGGGTCCACTTTAAAGCAATAAAAAAGAACAGAGATTAAGACTCTGGAGTGTTTTACAGTGTTTTCTGCTGTATTACCTGCGAGTGTCGTAGTCCAGCGTCAAACCGTTCGGCCAGCCCAGATCAGTGTTGATGAGGACTTTACGGTCTGTGCCGTCCAGAAACGCTCGCTCAATCTTCGCTATGTGACCCCAGTCCGTCCAGAACAAAAACCTGACAGACAACACAATCATTGATGCATTTATATGCAATAATACTAGGGATGAGCTGATGTATTGGCTGCTGGGATAATTATTTATACATTTCATTTTTATTTATACAAGTTATGATACTAGGGATGAGCTGATGTATTGGCTGCAAAGATTTGTTATTATTATTTACATTTTTTATTATTTTTTTATAAGTAATAATATTTGGGATAAGCAGATGTATTGGTTGTCGAGGTTTAATATTATTTACATACTTAATTATTATTTATATATGTAATAATAGGGATCAGATGATGCATTGGCTGCCGATATTTATCATTATTTACATATTTAATTATATTTATATCCGTTTATAAGTAATAATACTATGGATGAGCTGGAGTAATGGCTGCCGATATTTATCATTGATTCATTTTGTTTTTGGCTTAGTCCCTTTGTTAATCAGGGGTCGTCACAGCGGAATGAACCGTCAACTTATCCAGCATATGTTTTATGCAGCGGATGCCCTTCCAGCCGCAACCCATCACTGGGAAATTCCATACACTCTCACTCACACACATATACTACGGCCAATTTAGCCCACCCAATTCACCAATATTTATCATCATTTATATATTTAATTATTTTTTAAACATGTTTATAAGTAATAATAGTAGGGATAAGCGGATGTATTGGCTGCCAATATTTATTTTTATTTATATATTTAATTATTATTTATATATTTTTACATTTATTTTTGATTTGATTAGGTTATATATTATATTATATTATATTATATTATATTATATTATAATATATTATATTATTTTGTATTATATTATTTTATTTTATATTATATTATATTATATTTCCCAGAGATGGGTTGCGGCTGGAAAATGATTGAATGAATGAATGGTTGTATTATATTTTATTTTATATTATTTTTTATTTTATTATTTTATATAATATTATGTTATATTTTGCTATATTTTATTTTATTTTATTTATTTTATTTTATTCAAATTTATTTTATTTATATTTAATTTCATTTTATTATATTATAATAATTAATTTAATAACAAAAACTTGTTTAATTTAATTTAATTTAATTTAATTTAATTTAATTTAATTTAATTTAATTTAATTTAATTTAATTTAATTTAATTTTATTTAATTTAATTTTATTTTATTATTTATTAATTTTCTTTTCAGCTTAGTTTGTTAATCTAGGGTCACCACAGCGGAAAGATGGTCAACTTATCCAGCATATGTTTTACGCAGTGGATGCCCTTACAAGCTGCAACCCATCCCTGGTATATTATTATATTATATTATATTATATTATATTATATTATATTATATTATATTATATTATATTATATTATATTATATTATATTACAATAATTACAGATACTTCACTATATCTCAAATGGTATCTTGTAAATGATAAATGATAATATGTTTGCTGTTCTCACCCTTTGCTGGGGAACACAGCGATGGCTCTGGGTTCATCCAGACTATTGTTGACCAGAACTTTCCGTGATGTCCCATCTAGATGAGCCACTTCAATGGTGTTTCGTCCTGTGTCAGTCCAGTACATGTTTCGAGCGACCCAGTCCACAGCCAGCCCATCAGTGGTCTTCAAACCTGAACTGATCACCGTCTCCATATCACTGCCGTCCAGATTCACCCGTCTGAAAACAATTCATAATGATATATAGCTTATGTTTTTAGAACTTAAATTTTTTTTTCCGCATAAATGTCTTATGAATAAGCAGCATAAGTCAAAAAATCTTTAAAATGCTTCGTTTCTCCCATTACTAGCTCGCATTGATATTCATGTGCTTGTTTTGGTGATCTTCAATCAAAGTCTGACCATTTCCTTCTGCGTTTGAAGTGCAACCTAAAGATTCCATTGCAACTGTATATTAAAATACTGAACCACGCCCCTCTTACAGTTCCTTTGCAATGAGAATGATGCGATAAAGAAAGCCCCACCCCCTACTTAATATTCAGTTTTAGTATATCCGAACATACTGAAATAAAAGTCTCAGTAACTTCTGATTCATGCAGGCTTTAACGCCCTATTCACACGGGGCTTCAGCATCATTGCTTGACTGAAGGCGTGTCTGAAGTTGGGGCTGAAGCGATCGTTTATCGTGAAGCGATAAAAGCGTCAGCCAATGAAATCTAGTCAGCAATAGGCCACTGTCTGAGCTGGTGCATTTGCATACAGCGATCTGATTGGCTGACGCTTCCGTTGGCGCTTGAAAAGTTGAGCTAGTCCCAACTTCTCCAGCGAGCAACGCTTCTGAATCGGTGCCGACGGATCCACAATGCAGTTCGGGAACGCCTGACGTCACCCATTTAAAGTGAATGGGAAGCGTTGACGCTGACGCCCCGTGTGAATAGGGCGTAAGGGTTAATGTGGTATATTCACAGACTTTTAATTTTCAGACAGCCCAAGCGCTTCCTGTGCACTGTCAAAATCACCACATTTAAGATCTGACATCTTGAAAAATCTGTGATCTCCACTGCTTGATTTACGATAAAATTAAATGAATTTAATTTACTTTTAATGTATGTAAATGTGTTTTGCTCCAGAATTTTCAATGGAGTTTCTGTGCTCGTTCGCTGCTACTAGTCTCGTTTTACGCTTGAACGTCTAAATTAATGCTTAAATCTATTTCACTGATTGTATTTTAATTACATTACAACATCAGTGCTGTAAAAGAAACCATATGAAATTGAAAATAGTCACATTAACTTTTCACCAGAAGTTTATGATTGGCTGAAAACACTAGCTGTGCATATAGAGCCCACTGTGGCATCACCTGATGACGTCCAGCGAGACGTCAGTATAGTAGAGTTTCCTCTCCACGCTGTCATAGTCCAGTGAGATGACGTTCTGCAGTTCTGCCACCGGCACGAACACGTCCGTGTGGTCGTGTGTGTCCAGAGAGATCCTGCGGACGCTGACGCGGTTGGAGAACAGCAGGTATGTTTCAGGCAGATCCTCGCAGGAGCGTCCGTCCGCCTTCAGCAGGACGCCGGTTGGACATGCGCAGGACGTCCCGTTGAGCCGCGGCAAACACAGGTGAGAGCAGCCGCCGTTCCTCCGGCCGCATTTATTCAGTCCTGCAAACAGATTACACACGGCTTATAATTATTATTATTTTTTTCTAAGAGGTTTTTCACCTTTATTAACAGTAGACATTTTAGACTGGAAATCATTGGGAACAGAGAGAGGGGAAGGATCGGCAAAGGACCTCGAGACTGGAATCAAACTCGGGTCGCCGTGAGCACATCGGTGCTATATGTTGGTGCACAGTACCACTAGGCTACTGGCGCCGACACACATGGCTTAATACTGTACCTTTCACACACAGTAAATACATACACTCACCGGCCACTTTATTAGGTACACCTGTCCAACTGCTCTTCAGCGCAAATTTTTAATCAGCCGATCACATGGCAGCAGCTCAATGCATTTAGGCATGTGAACATGGTCAAGACAATCTGCTGCAGTTCAAGCGAGCATCAGAATGGGGAAGAAAGGGGATTTAAGTGACTTTGAACGTAGCATGGTTGATGGTGTCAGACGGGCTGGATTGAGTATTTCAGAAACTGCTGATCTACTGGGATTTTCACGCACAACCATCTCTAGGGTTTACAGAGAATGGTCTGATTAAGAGGAAATATCCAGTGAGCGGCAGTTCTGTGGGTGCAAATGCCTTGTTGATGATGCCAGAGGTCAGAGGAGAATGGCCAGACTGGTACGAGCTGATAGAAAGGCAACAGTAACTCAAATAAGCACTCGTTACAATCGAGCTCTGCAGAAGAGCATCTCTGAACGCACAACACGTCCAACCTTGAGGCGGATGGGCTACAGCAGCAGAAGAGCACACCGGGTGCCGCTCCTGTAAGCTAAGAACAGGAAACTGAGGCTACAATTCACACAGGCTCACCAAAACTGGACAATAGAAGATTGGAGAAACATCGCCTGCTCTGATGAGTCTCCATTTCTGCTGCCACAGGTCGGGTCAGAATTTGACGTGAACATGAAAGCATGGCTTTGTATCAGCGATTCAGGCTGGTGGTGGTGGTGTAATGGTGTGGGGATATTTTCGTGGCACTCTTTGGGTCCATTAGTACCAATTGAGCATCGTGTTAACTACCTGAGTATTGCTGCTGACCATGTCCCTCCCTTTATAACCACAGTGTCTCTATCTTCTGATGGCTACTTCCAGCAGGATAACGCACCATGTCATAAAGCGTGAATCATCTCAGACTGGTTTCTTGAACATGACAATGAGTTCACTGTACTCAAATGGCCGCCACAGTCCCCAGAGCTTAATCCAACAGAGCAGCTTTGGGATGTGGTGACACGGGAGATTTACATCATAGATGTGAAGCAACTGCAACTGCGTGATGCCATCATGTCAACATGGAGCAAAATCTCTGAGGAATATTTCCAGTAGCTTGTTGAATCTGTGACACGAAGGTTTAAGGCAGTTCTGAGGGCAAAAAGGGGATCAACCATAAACCTGATACTGGTAGGGTGTACCTAATAAAGTGGCCGGTGGGTGTAGTTGTTATTTTTAATGCACTATTCAACAGTGCTCAATGTAACATTCTCATAGTATGGTAAAGCTATTGGTTTGATTAGTGGTTATTATTAATGCAATATTCAACTGTAATTAATGTAACACTTGTAGTGTGGTTAAGATATCAGTTTAGTTGATTAGTTAACATTCTCATAGCATGGTAAACGTGTAGTGCTGTGGTACCAGCTGATGCGGTGCGGTCCACAGCCTGTATGTCCATGAGTCCGGGCAGACTGGAGCGGATGATGATGGCGTTTTCTCCTGTGTTTTTGTCTGCTCTGTGAATGCTGCGGCTCTGCCAGTCTGTCCAGTACATGTGAGAGCCCAGGACGGTCAGACCGTACGGATGCTGGACAGGAGACACCAGAGTCCTGCGGTTCGAGCCGTTCAGGTCCGACGCTTCGATACGCTAACAGAAAAGCACACACATATTCTGCTTTATAACACAATTATCACAACATTTCTATTTGTATTCTAATTCTTATTGTATTCTTATCTAGTCTAATATTATTTACTGTCATCACGACAAAGTTAAAATAAATCAGTTATTAGAGATGAGTTATTAAAACTATTATGATTAGAAATGTGTTGAAAACATCTTCTCTTCATTAAACAGAAATTGGGGAAAAATAAACAGGGAATCTAATAATTCAGGGGGGGCTAATAATTCTGACACCAACTATATATATATATAATATTTATATTCAATAATTTAAAAAATCATAAATCAGAATAAACAATATTAAAATCAGATTTAAAAATCATGCCCTTGCTGTCTTTGCTACATCATTAAACTGATAAACTCTCACACAGACACATTTAATTTTAAAATAACTATGAATAGAACAAACTCACTTAGAAACACCATCCTTGTTTCTAGGCGACAATTCTAAATATGTTCTAAAGTCAGTTCAAAATATCAGGCATGTTTACTCATGACTGAAGGGACACACAGAGTTATAATCTTAAATCGATGAACAGTTTAAATAAATCAAATATCATCAATTCAATATTAAGCATCACACACCGGTACATTATTTAAATAACTGTAAAATAACATTTTAAATGCAACAAACTTACTTAGTTACACAATGCTTATTTCTAGGCGATGATTCTAAATATGTTCTAAAAATTATTTATTTGTTTATGTATTCATTCATTCATTCATTCATTTTTTATTCATTTAATTCATACATTTTTTAAATAAACTTATATATTCATTTAATGAATTTATTAATTTATTTGTTTATTTATTGTATTCATTAATTTATTTATTTATTTAAAAAGTTTTTAATTTATTTATTACATTTATTAATTTAATAATATATATAGAATAATATTAAAT